CACATACCATTCAAATGACAGTGCTCCTCTCATCCGATGCCAGCCCGATCCTCCAACTTGCTGTAGGCAGATATACTCACTGCTGCCAGGGCACTTTGGGATCCCTGGCACCAGTGCCATCTTTAAAAGGCCATTGTACACCTAGACAAGCCCTGTCAGTCCTGCATAGTTCCTGAGTTTGCTCTAGATATGGCAGATGAAGGAAAATTGAATTATCCATCAAATAATTTATGATGGATAATATGCATAAAGGATTAAGGGGACTTCCATGTAGTGGGTAACTGTTAAGGCGTATTGACCTCGATGGGGACTTTTTGGGTTTTCGTTTTCCTTTGTGCTTTTATTTGCTGAGGTTTCTCCCAAGACTTTTGGATTTTTATTTGTAACAGAACATCCCCAGGAATGTTTGCATGAATTAAAAAGAAAAGCTGCTGAATATTGTCACCTCTAACAAACAGTCTTTCTGCTCTGCTGAAATGCTTTAAAGAAGAGGGGGTCTTGGAGTACACTTACCAAGCCAATTGGCAGGTTTGTGTAAAACCTGTGACGGACACAACTTTATAAGTAACTCAACTGCAACATTGCGCAGTTGATGTACTGCAAAATGAAACAAGGCACAGTAAGATTGGCTGGCACTAACGCCAGTCTAACCATAGCCACCCATTATGCTACCAGCTGGGCTATGGGCAGTTGCTCCGTCAGCTGTGAGTTAACACAAAGGCAGTTGAAGATTGATGCCACCTGCTGCCAGGATATTCACAGCCAACCTGCAACAGAGGGACATCATTTCTAGTTGCAGTCGAAGTTGCCCTGAGCGTCAACTTTGCTGTAAGATTGGACTAATGGATTATTCATTATAGCCAACACCTTCATTACCTTTCACATTGGCACCATGCTATGACTGCCAGTGTTACTAATTTGCTGTGGATGGGAGAGGGATCATCAATGCCAGTCACATGGCCAAGCAGGCATGCGGTGCCTGCTCTTCCCTTGGCACCACCACTTGTTGCCATCCACCTCTGGCTTCCTCAGTGGCACCTGCTCAGGTTCACTAACTCCATTGTTGAGTATGAGTAGCTGTGCTACAGCATGCAAACACAGTTTGTGGGAAATGAGTGAAAAGGGGGCGAATATGCACATGACCAATAGATACAGGAGCAGAATTAGGCCATTCAGCCCAGTGAGTCTACTCTGCCATTCGATCATGGCTGATATGTTTCTCAACCCTATTCTCCTGACCTTCTTGTAACCCTTGATCGCCTTACTAGTCAAGAACCTATCTATCTCTGACACTCAATGATTTGGCCTCCACAGCCCTCTGCAGCAATGAGTTCCACAGACTCACCATCCTGTGGCTGTAGAAATTCCCCCTCATCTCAGTTCTGAAGGATCATCCCCTCACTCTGAGATTGTGCAGTCAGGTCCTAGTCTCTTCTAAAGCATTTTCTCCACGTCCACTCTATCCAGGCCCCTCAGGGATAGAGTGCTACAAGCCCTGTGCTGAGCCTTACATAGGAACAGGAGGAGGCCTTTCAGCCTCTCCCTGTTTCACCAATCAATTAAATCATAGCTGGTCTCCAATCTAATGACATTTTTGATTCCATAGCACGTGACCTCCTTAATGAACAAAAAAAAGCACTAATTGCAGTTTTCACATTTCAATTGACCTCCAGCCTGAATAACTATTCCAGTGCTCCATTTGCGTTTGTAAAAGTTCTTCCTGACATCAGCCCTGAAGGGATATGCTCCAACTACACACAAATAATCATACAGTATAATCAAAAGCAAGATTTCCTGAAAGGAGGCCAACAGATAATTTTTCACATTGTAGCCCTTGTATGGTTTACAGATCAGAGATTGGGGAAGAGGTGACAATGGGCAGAATGTCTAGCAGTGCTGGAACAGTGATGCTGTTGTTCTTGATATGTACGTGCCAGATTGCTATATATTTTGGCTGCCTAAAGTATTTCAGAGCAATGCAGTAATGACTCTAGTTCTAAAATTTTATTCACAGCAAGTTAAAACATCTCATAACTTATAGGATTTGTCATCTTTACTAGATTCCAAAGGTTCTGGAGCATTCCCTGTGAGGTGTCAGTATTTAATTCGCTTACTCCGCTCATCCTCAAGCTATTGACTACGTGTATGAGGATCAGTTATGAATGTCGTGGTGAATCCTGCCTGCACAGACAAACGGAGGACCCAGGTATGCAGGTTAATTTCGTGTTCATTCAAACAGTGTCAGCCTTTGACTGGCCAGACTGAATTCTGCCTAGCACTCTGTCCCGGCTTTGCCCCACATCTGTCTGTTCTCTGTCCCATGTCCGATATGTACAGAAAATCATCAAGTTTAATACGTATCCATCATTTACATTTCATCCTTACAGTCCTTGTTGTCTTCCTCCTGTTGGAACACCTTTTGATAAAATCTTATTTAACTCCCACTACACCGGGCTAGTATAATCAAACAAATAAAACAAGCCATTGAGTACAATATGTGTAATGACTATGGAAACATCCACATTATGTACTTAAACTGCCCAAGTATAAGAAAACACATAGAATGCTCCTGTGCATATACCACAGTCAGTGAGCTTTCCGTCTGAAGCCTGACTTGAGAAAGTACAATCAGATTAGCAAAGCTGAGATACTGAACACCATGTCAAGTTGATGCTTGTA